CCTAGCCCCCGCCCTACCTTTCCCTCGTTAAGGACTTTTGAAATTATGTTTGCCTGATTCTTTGATGGTTTGATAAAAACCTCAATTGTGAGTCGTTATATGGCGATGATCGATCGCCCCGGGAGGTTTGGCTTGGTGGCTAAGTATCTAAAAGCCTATAAGTTTGGAGCTGACATGGCCGAAGCTCTTTTGCTTATGTCGAGGGTAGCCTGTTTCACCAATTCTTTTCGAAGTATTTTCGAAGTAATTGAAGGCCACTAATTTTATAGCGACGGTCGGGCGTCCCCGAGTCGTGTTAGTTTGGCTGGTACAACCTTGTGACCGTAGTCATTGTGTTTGGCCAGAGCCTTTCAGTTCCCTAGTGAAGCAGTTTCGGCGTTTATATTGAGGGTATGCCTTTTTAGAGGTCTTACAAGTTCGATATATAGCCTTAACTTTAAGATCGGGATTATGCCTTTTATATGGTCTTACAAATTTTTGCATGCCTTTGAGGTCTTACAATTTTGGTTACTTGGTACAAGTATGGTTCATGCCTTGCTTGAGGTCTTAGTGTTTTGGTTACTTGGTACAAGTATGGTTCATGCCTTGCTTGAGGTCTTAGTGTTTTGGTTACTTGGTACAAGTATGGTTCATGCCTTGCTTGCGGTCTTATAGTTTTTGTTACTTGGTACAATTATGGTTCATGTCTTGCTTGAGGTTTTACAGATATTATTGTTGCCTTATATAGGTCTTACGAGACAGAGGCTGCCCACATGAGGTCTTATGGCCTCGGGTTTTTGATAAGTCGATGGGGGTGGCGATTGGCGGCAGTCCCCGAGTTTTCGAAAGTTTTTTGGCTCGAGAGCCATTCCTTGAAAACTTGGTATTGCCTCATCGAAGGCTTACGAGTTCTAATCTTCCGACCCGGAGGTCATACGTCCTTGAGTTTTGATGCCAGTCCCCGAGTGCTCGGGAAGTTTTTTGGCCCTAGAGCCGCTTTGTAAACTTTATGTTGTCTCATTGAGGGATTAGCTTCAATTTTTTGACGCCAGTCCCCGAGTGTTCAGGATGTTTTTGGACATGGAGTCATTTTTGCAAAAGAACACCGAACTCCTTAGAAACGTGAAATGCCTTGATGGAGGGGAAAGTATTCTTCGATTACTTGGTATAGGTATACATGTTTTTGCTGTTAAGGGCTTGGTTATTCTATACGGACACGGTTCGTTCGACTGTTTGGCCCGATACATCATTTTCCTATCGAAACCCCATTTAGCACATCTTGGCTTCTCCGAGGAGGTGTTCTTCCGGGGGGATGCCCCCTAGTATTTGAGGTTGATTGAAAAGAAGCCTTGAATACTTGTTGAGTCTTCCTTAGGTAGCATATAGATGTTGCCTCGTTAAAAACCTTGCCAGTAAAACCCTTCTTGGGATTAAAACCCGATCGAAGGAGAAGAGTGCAACGTATGCTTTTGGAACCTAAGGCCTTTGAGTTGGAAAGTGCTTCGGCCGTTTCGATTGAATACCTGCACTTAGGTTAGTATAAAATGTAACTGAAAAATGGAGATGATCATACCTTAGTGCTGACGCCGCTTCGGACCTCGATATGATTCAATCGTTTGTTATGAGACTCGATAAGGTCCTTTGTTTTGTTTAGTGGGGCGTAGCCGAGAATGTATCTTGTTATCATTATTTTAGTGTTTTCTTATCCTTTGGTTCCTTCGATGGTGGAGGTATTGGTGTTGGTGCCACATCGTACACCGCGAACATCTCTCTTGCCGCATGCTATTCCCTGTAGACCGTTTTTATCCCATCCTTTGTCGAGAATTTCATCATTTGATAGAGGGTGGATGGTACTGCTCTCATGCTGTGTATCCATTGCCTTCCGAACAAGGTGTTGTACCTCATGTCTCCTTCGATGACGTGGAATTTGGCATTTTGGGTTGTGCCGGCCACGTTGACTGAGAGGGTGATTTCCCCTTTCGTTGTTTCGCTCGCCATGTTGAACCTGTTGAGGACTTGAGAGGCAGACACGATTTGATCAAGCAGTCCGAGCTGCTCTACCACCCTCGACCTGATAATATTGGCCGAGCTACCTGGATCCACAAGTACACGTTTAATTTAAAATGTATTTACAAGAAAAGAAATTACCAGTGCGTCGTTATGGGGCTGAGATAGATCCTCGATGTCTTTGTCGCTGGATGTGAGGGCGTCCTCGGGTATATAGCCTTGAGTTCGTTTTTCCATGGTGATGGATATTTTTGTTCTCCTGACCATGGGTTCCTGTGGAGCATCGATACCTCCAAAGATCATGTGGATGACATGTTGTGGCTCATCTGTTTCACTCTTTTTGGTCGCCTCTCTTTCCCAGAACTAATTTTTGGATCGGTCGCTGAGGAATTCCCGGAGGTGACCTTTGCTGAGTAGTCAGGCTACTTCTTCCTGGAGTTGTCAGCAATCTTCGATCATGTGACCATGCGTGTTGTGAAATTCACACACTAAGTTATGGTTCCTTTATGAAGGATCTGATTGTACAAGCCTTGGCACCTGGTGTCTCTGATTTTACTGATGGTGAATACGATGTCTGAAACGTCGACGTTGAAGTTGTATTCCGATAAGAGGGGCACCTCCGTCGGCCCTGTGTGCCTATCAAATCTAGCTCTGCTAACAAGTCCCCGAGGATTTTGTCCTCGATCCATCCTTCGGTCATTGTGGGGTATGTTGCACCTTAGGGCGTTTCTTTTATCTTTAGTGTATGGTTGGTATCTCTCTTTATTCGGCTTCGACTCCTTCGCCGGAAGCTTGCTAGGATATACCGAGCCCGAGGGGACTCCTAGTTGGTCGTCTTCGACCCTCATATTTGATTGGGATCGGTTGTGGACGTCCGACCAAGTCACGACGAGATACTCGACTAAGTTCTGCTTAAGTTGTTTTGAAGCTACCGAGCTTCCCTTATTCAAACCTTGAGTGAAGGCCTGCACCACCCAGTCATCGGAGACCACTGGTAGTTCCATTCGTTCCATTTGAAAGCAAGATACGAACTCTCGCAGCATCTCGTTCTCCCTTTGCTTGATTTTGAAGATGTCTGATTTCCTTGTAGCTACTTTGATGGCACCAGCATGTGCCTTTATGAAAGAATCTTCCAGCATGGCAAATGAATCTATCGATTTTGGGGCTAGGTTGTGATACCACATCATTACCCCTTTTGAAAGCGTCTCTTCGAACTTTTTCAGTAGTATGGACTCGATATCATCATCCTTTAGGTCGTTGCCCTTCATTACACAAGTGTAAGCAGTGATGTGCTCGTTGGGGTCCGAGGCCGTTGTACTTCGGAAGGTCGGGCATTCTGAACTTCTTTGGAATGGGTTTTAGGGCCGCTTCCTATGGGAACGACTTTTGTATAAACTTCTTCGAATCTACACCTTTCAGAATCAGAGGTGCGCCCGGAATTTGATCGACCCTAGAATTGTTGGTCTCTACCTTCTTGTCATTGGATTTTATCTTCTTTTCGCTCGACTCGATCCTCTTTGTGAGGTCCTCGAGCATCTTTATGATGGCGGGGTCGACTGGCGACCCGTTGTTGCTTGATCTTTCTGGTACCTACTCGGCACGGGGAGCCGTTTTCGGAGCTACCGTCCTGGAAGTCTTTTGGTGGCTTTGCAGTTGAGCAGTCGCCAGCTGTTGTGCTTGTAACATTTTGAATATGACGTGAAGGCTAACCCCTTGTTCTTCCTGAGTCGGGGTTTTTTGAGCTTCTTGTTGATCTTCCTAGTGTATGCTCCTGTTGGTGTGGGAGCTTATTTCGACGTGTTGAGCGTTGCGTGAGACCACGTCCACAGTAATTGATTCTGGTGCATTCTCAGGGTTTCATGGTGGTACACCAACACCTGGAACATCCACACCATTCTCTCCATGGTCCTCAAGATTGTTGCTTTCACGTGCGTTTACCGAGTTAGACATTTCGACCTGAAATCAAAGATCTTGGACAAGAAAAAGTGTGAAAGGTAACTTGTGTTATGCAGTAAACCAGCAAGAAAATAATCACTGTTATTTTTAGCCCCACGATGGGCGCCAAACTATTTACCGCGAAAATGGTAATTACAATTAGATTTGATTTTGTGGTTCTAAAAATACGTGATCTATTTTTATGCTAGTTGTTAAGCAATGGATGCTAAGTGAAAGACTTGGAAACAAGATAATATCTTGAAAACAATATGATAATCAAACCGAATGACTAATAATCGGGGCCTCGAGCTTGCGTATTCGGGGCCTTGAGGTCGAGTCGGATGCCATGCCGAGGATAGTCGATGGAGGACTAAAAGTTATGATAAATTCAATGGCGGCTCTTTATGGCTAATAATAAGCAATAAATGAAGAACAATAAATAGAACACAATAAATATAAGTAGTGGAGTCAAGAGAATTTGTTAGAAAGCAGAAAGAATGTTCTTGTCTTTTCAATATTATGTCTTAGATCCCCTTTATATATGAGGGGAAAATCCCTATATGACATATGTGTAGTTATTACATAAAGTGGCTAGTACAACCACTCAATCAGCCTGGTGCAGGATGTCATTATTTGCGCAGACGATGTCAGAAAGTACTGCTCCTAGGGAACTTCCCGCTTACTTGCGACAAGCACCGGTCGTTCTGCCCCGACACCGGGCACGAAGAATCCCCCAAGGCATCGGACCCTGGGCTGTTCTTTGGGCCCTTTGAGATGAGATTACGCAATACCTTGCCGACCGTAAAATTGGTCTTCCCGATTTTAGCCGTATACAGGTACATTTTGGACTTACTATCGATGGTCAATTGGAACAAGGTCTAGGTGAGGTGTCTAAATAAAAAATAGTGATAATTTTAAGTATCCCCATATGAATTCAACCTAAATTAAAAGGGGATAGAAGAACTAAAAACAAAAATTAAGGAAATTAGTGTATTTTCAGTTTTGTAGAATACATGAGCGAAAAGGATATTATTTGTCTTAAATGAAGAAAAAAAAAAGGGTGAGAAGGCATTAATGGAACTTTTGTGAACTTCTCAATTGGAGTTTAGAGAAGTCAGATATATGCTTATCAAACTGAAATGACACTTCGGTTATTGAATTTTACTCCAACGGTTGCAATTTAAAATTATACTACTATTTTATATTAGGTGCAGAATTTTAGTTTCTTTTACTGTCCGCACTTTTCGAAAAACTTAAAATCAAAGGCATTTTTTGGTTTTGATTAAAATTTTTTTTTTTTTTTTGTTAAAGACTAATTCAAAGTTAGAGCATGGAACTTAAATTGTTTAAAACTTGATATTTACTAGTTTTTTTAATTAATATCGATGTGAAGTTAAAATTATATAATAAAATAAGTTTTTTAGTCTTGAGTTAAAGTGGGACTAGTCTTAGAGTACGCGCTTTGCACGTGTATTTATATTAATGGGTATTCAGTTAAAAAATCACATTATGTGTTTGAGTTATTAAATAAAAATTAGAAGAAGGGTATGTTCTTTAAAATGATGAATATCGATCTCTTTGGCAAACTTAATGAAAGAAATCTTGCTCCATCAAAAATTTTAGATGTCTTATTGTGATTTTAAAATTATTCGCATATCTATTACCTAATATTGAAACAAATAAATAAAAAAAATACTTTTATGGTTCTTCAAAGATTTGTTAAATAAAATAAATTGAAAAGTTGAATAATTGAATCTTTTGATATCTCAGAGATTTTGAGAATGAAAAGGTTGGCCCTGTAGCTCACAAAAAAATTGATAAATGGTGGTGCAAAGTCTAAGAATAATTGTTGAGTTAACATCTTTTCAAAAATGACTTAATATACAAAAATATATAAGGAGCTATCATTTATTGAAATGAATGTTAAAAGAAACAAAAAGATAATTATAAATATTAACTCACATTTAAAATAAATTTTATCTACTAATATTTCATCCTTATTGCTTCAAATTTGTATTTTTATCAATTTGACTTTTTAATACTATTACTAACTTTGCTCTATTTTCTGATATCTCACTACCAATGCCTTTTTTTTATATAGAATTAAATCTATGTAGCCTAAGAGTTTTGCCAACTTAAAAAATAATTTTACTTATATAAATTTGAAAAAAAAAAACTGAATTGGATACTTTTAATTACTAATTAGTTAATTAATTTAAGAACTAACCATTGGTTCTCAACCTTAAAGCAAAAATTTATTTTTCTTGATTCTATTCCTTATGAGCTCAAACTTCAAATATTTAAATATAGCTATAATTTCGTCCAAGCATTTAAAACGTGGAAACTCCTTCACACCCTTTCAAATCTTAATTAATATTAGTTTATCTAAATTTAAATTTAATTAGATATTTTTGCAATATAATCTAAGTACCTAGATATTGGAGTTCGTACATTGTTCTAATAAGGAATGATTTAATTCAAATAGTAGATAATCATGTCTACTATTTTATTCTTATTAATTTTAGTTCGTATTTTAATCGATTTTACTCTTAGAGCCCGTTTGGCTTGGCTGATATTGAGTAGCTGATAAGCATTAGGTGCTGAAAAGCACTTTTAAATGCTGAAGTTGATTTAAAAAATAAGCAGTTACTTGTTTGGATAAAAGTGATGAAATTAATAATTAGCATCTCAAGAACTGGGTATACGAAGAGTTTTGTTTTAAAAAGAAATATTTTAGGGATAGAATAGTAAATATTTTGGTCAAACCTAAAGTGCTTATAAGCTGAAATTTGATAAGTTGGGGGAGACCAACTTATGGCTTTTGGCTTATTTTTGACTTATAAGCACTTAACTTATAAGCACTTTTACCAAACCTGTAGATAAGCCAAAAAGTGCTTATAAGCCAATAAACTTAGCCAAACACCCTCTTAGTGCAATATTATAATTGATATTCGTTCTTTACTATTTTTTTCACCATCAATTTTCTTGATCTTGTGGAAACAAATTTGTATATCAAAGTTTTTTGTCAACTAAAAAATTAGTTCTAGTTAGATGATGCATTTGAAAAATAGTTGGATTATATTTTTTTGCTAATAATTAATTCAAAAATTTAACTATTTAATTTTATTGTGACAGTAACTCATTAGATTTTTATTTATGCCAAATTTTAAATTTTGAATTATAACATGAAAAAATGACAATTATGTCACATTACTAAAATAAAGAATAGTTCATATAAGGTAATCGAAATTTAAATTAGTTTTAAAGTAAAAAATTCAATTAACCCAAATGGTTTCCGTGATGTTCCCCTATATTTTCTTACCATCATTGAACGTATATGTGTTGGGTGAGTTTATTAGAGTGTTTAATTAATAGAATTTTAGTTGATGTTAAAATCCTACGTATTAAGAACTTAATATGGAATGATTACAACTATATAAATAAATTTAAATACAAAAATAATTTAAATAAGGTAAAATCTTAATTGATTTGAATTCCTAAATATTAGGACTTGATACATAATTTAATCAAGGAACTAAGTCCTAAATATTAGGAAATAATTTGAATTACTATTTTGTCCAATGTGAAATTTATTTTAAAAGGATAAAAAAAGCAAACGACATTTCGCTAAGGACTAAGTCCTAAATATTAGGAAATAATTTGAATTACTATTTTGTCCAATGTGAAATTTATTTTAAAAGGGTAAAAAAAGCAAACGACATTTCGCTAAGAGCCTTTGTGCTTTTAATATAGTATATAGATTTACACTATTATAAATATTGGTGTTATTACCTACTTTGACGTTACATTTCAAGTAAAAATAATGAGTAAAAAAAAAAAATTACAATCTTGAAGAGGAGTGGACAGGGTTGAAATCTTCACATTAACCCCTTGACTGAAAATCTCAAATATGTATTATTCACTGCTTGACTTATATCGTATGGTAAAAAAAGATGGGAGATCAACTTCATTTTCCTTTAGCCAACTCAGAATCCGTTGTTGATTGACTTCTGTAAGCCTTTTTAATCATACTCATACAATTATTACTGCATGTAACTTCCACAAAATCTCTCTACTATTTCTTGAAATTTCAATCCCCAATTCGTATCAAAATTATTTCCGTTTCACCCATAAAAGGAACATGTTTCTGAATTCATCACACCCCTTCAGTTCAAATTTTCTTCCACAGATGCATTAGTGTTTATACATAAAATAGTGAAGTGGGTATTAATCACAAAGACGAATCAGCAAAGGAAAATCAAGAAATTGATTGAAATGGATCGTATCGGTGGCTTACCAGATGGTATTCTGATCGCTATACTTAGTTTTCTTGACACTAAAACTGCTGTAAGGACATCAGTATTGTCGAAAAGATGGAAATTGGTTTGGACTTCTCTCCCTGTTCTTGATTTCGAGAATGTTCCTTATTCAAGATGGAAATCACGAATAGAATTTATCTTCTTTGTTAGACATGTTCTTGCTCGTCGTTGTAATTCTCAACTTGTTAAGCTTAGGCTTTCTGTGGACGATATAGTTTACTCATCTTTCAGTGAAGAATGTATGACTTATGCTGCTGATCATAGAGTTAAAAATCTCATAATCTCTGCATTTACTACTGAAAACCCCGTGTTTATACCAACTTGCTTGCTCTCTTCTCAATTTCTTGAATTCTTGGAACTCAATTGTGCGATTCGTTATACTATAACATTGCCAAAAAGTTGGACTTTTACCAACTTGAAGGTTCTCAAGTTGAAGAATTTTGTGTTTAGTGATGACAATTTTGATGATGGGAAAATCTTTTCTGGATGTCCTAAGCTTGAGAGTGTGATTTTGTGCAAATGTGCAATTAAGGGTAGAGGTGAACTTAAGGAATTGGAAATGAAATGCTTGGAGTTAAAGAAATTGGAGATATTATATTGGAGGAGTCCTTTGAGTTGTTATGACATACATAGGATCAATGTGATTGCTCCAAAGCTTTCGTCTTTTGTGTTTAAAGGGCATGTTGCTAAGGTGTGTTTTAAGGAGGATTTGGGTTGTTTAGATAGAGTTTGTATTGACTTGCGGTATCCTAAATGGAACTCCGCTGAAGATCGAAAGAGATGGACTGGTGAATGCTTTATGACCATGTTTGGACAATTCTGCAGCGCGAGGTTTCTATCTTTGTCCATTGACACCGTTGAGGTAACAATAAGACCTTCCCTTTTCTTCTTTTTCTTGTTGAGTGTGTGTTGGGATCGGAGAAGGGGTTCTATTTTCATTTATTAAGACAATAATCTTTCTGTATTTTGAAAAACAAATATTTATAAAGGTGCTAGTTAAGTTATTCATCACGTTGCCATTTTACCGGAAAAGAGTAGACTGTGTATTATCCATCTTTATTTGGAAGCGGGAGGGATATTGGGAGTTGGGTGGGCTAGTTGAAGAATTTGCTCACTGATTGATGTGATTATGTGTATGCCTAGGCTCTCTCTGCTATTTCTGGAATACGTGAATATGTTACTTTTGGCAATTTGAGGCATATAAAGTTCGTAACTGAGGATAGATCTTCATCAGTAACTATGCCCATTAATGCTGTTGCTGACATACTGAAGTGCACTGCTGACGGATACTTGGTGTTCAACGCGTCCGAGGTACTAAACCATGATAGAAACTCGTGTTATTATTTCAATCTCTTTTTCATATTTTACTTTTCTCTTTTGATCTTTTTAGTTTGATATCTCAAATTTCTAGTAGAAGCCCATTCCTGAAGTTCAAAATGAGGGACTTAGAGTGATCGTAATATACAGAAATATCTTCATGAGCAGTTTTTCATAGGAAAAAAGCTTGTGGTCGTCTTATCTGAGGGTGGTTTCCATTGGATTAGGGGTTCTTTACTTGTATATAAACTTCGAGTGACTTCTGTAATTTAGTATCTCAACATCATTACGTGATAGAGAATCTACTCCTACTTAGTAGAATCCTTCTCCATTCTGATTCTACAAAATAGGAGTACTGTTTATCAGCTTTCTTAGATTCTTGTAGTTAAGCTGCTGATAGATATAGCAACTTGGCTTGGATTTGGTTTTCCTAAGATGGCAATTATCTCGCATTCTCCTTCTCTGCTCTATTAAATACTGTGTATCGACTTTTTAGATTCTTGTAATTTGAGCAGCTTATTGATATAGCAACTTGGCTTGAATTTGGTTTTCCTAAGATGGTAATTAGCTTACATTATCCTTCTCTGCTCTATTAAATACTGTGTGTCGACTTTTTAGATTCTTGTACTTTGAGCAGCTTGTTGATATAGCAACTTGGATTTTGAATTTGTTTTTTTTTTCTAATTTGTTGTTGCACTACTTAGATTGCATATAAATTACTTGTTTAGACAATATACTGATCTCCAACTGACCTATTTTAATTTCAAATTGTAGGATAACAAACTATCCACTCTTGGCGAATCATCACATTCAGATGGAAGAAAAGCGAAGAAGGATAGCAACATCATTGATGTACCTATACATCTTATGTCCTACTTACTGGAAATTGCTCCTCGTGCAGAATCTTTGACAGTTGAATTTGCTAAGGTAGTACTACTTACAAACCTCTTCATTATTTGCTCTTTTAAGAAGCAGATACTGGAACAAGAAAAAAAATAATTACTCAAGATTATAAGTTTGAAAAGGACATGATTTTTCTTTGTTATCATTTTAAAAATAGGTATTAATTTGATTTCAGGAATCGTTTGAATGTGTTGAAGTGAGAAGTGATGGGGAAGAGTAGTTTGATATACCAAGATTCACGAAATGTAAGGCCCACTGTCTAATTTTGTCGCGAAAGACACATGTAATGTCCTCATGCTCAATCTTATCATTTTTTGGATTCAGTTAAATGAATAACACATTCTGGAAATACAACTTTTTGGTTTCATGTGTTTACATGTATGGTTTAGTTCGGTTAACTGTAATGTCTGTTACTTCAATCAGGTTTTTTGTAAAGCGAATATTGTGAATTAAACCATAATGAAGATGGTACTGCATACGAGGTTCTTCTTTACGTCTTCCTTAAAACATGCTAGCATAGCGCAGTATATGTTTTCTTGCTGTCAGTTTATTGGAGTTAGTTTACAATCTAAGTTCCTGTTAGAATAAAAGATTTACATATGAGATGAAGCAAAACCAGGTATTCTGTACCTCAACTATCTCATGGTATATGAATGTCCTGCGGCAAAGGAGAGGGAGAAAATGAAGGACCTACAGTCAAGATTTACTTCCTCTATTCTATATTGTTGGTTCCTTATTTTTCTTTTAGATGTCCGTAAGTTGTTTTATTTTCTATAAACAGGAAGTATCGGATATTACTTGCTAGTTTTAGTATCGAAATCATATGTATTATTCTGTCAAAAAATACACAATTTATAGGAGAAAACAAATCAATAAAAATGAAATAATCCCCTGATTCCAGACAAAGGGGTATTTCTAATCTATTCTAATTTAATCCCTAAGAATATGAAACTTTTCTAACTTAGCTAATATGATTTGATCCTATATGATCAGATATTACAAATCAATGTATCAATTTGATTTGATTTGATTAGACAATCATAATAAGATATTACAAATCAACACTCCCCCTCAAATTGGCATGTAGATATCCGACATGCCTAACTTGCTCACAAGACTTTCAAATCTTGGTTTAAACAACCTTTTAGTAAAAAGATCTGCTATCTGCTGATCTGTTGGCACAAATGGCAAGCACACACTTCCTTCATCTAGCTTCTCCTTGATGAAATGCCTATCCACCTCAACATGTTTTGTTCTATCATGTTGAACTGGATTGTGGGCAATACTTATGGCAGTTTTATTGTCACAGTATAGCTTCATTGGTAAAGTTATAGGTCTTCTAAGTTCCTCCATCATTTTCTTAAGCCAAATAATCTCACAGATTCCATGAGCCATAGATCTGTACTATGCTTCAGCAATGCTTCGTGCCACAACACTTTGTTTTTTACTTCTCCATGTCACAAGATTTTCCCAAATAAATGTACAATACCCAGAAGTAGACCTTCTGTCAGTACAGGACCCTGCCGAATCTTCATCTGTGCATGCCTCAATGCTCCTTTTATCACTTTTCTTGAACAACCACCTTTTTCCTGGTGAGCTTTTCAAGTACCTCAAAATTCGATACACAACCTTCTGATGTTCTTTTTTAGGAGAATACATAAACTGACTAACCAAGCTTACCGCAAAAGCTATGTCAGGACGAGTGTGCAATAGGTAGATAAGTTTTCCTACCAACCTCTGATATTGACCTTTGTCAATTGGATCTCCTTCTTTATTCTTGAGCTTTATGTTTGGGTCAAGAAGAGTTTCTGCTGGTCGGCACCCGCTCATCTCCGTTTCTTTCAACAAATCCAGCACATATTTTCTTTGAGATACCATTATTCCCTCCTTCGATCGAGCCACTTCCATGCTAAGAAAATACCTCAAGGGTCCCAAGTCTTTGATTTCGCATTGCCTTCAGTGCGGACCACACAAAACCTAGTGTGGCCGCATTGCATCTTTGCCTGAAAATCAACCTCTCTGAATCTCCTAGTGCGGACCACACAGAATGGTGTGCGGCCGCACTGGGCCTGCTTTTCCTGAACTTGTCTTTGACACTTGTGCAAGTTTCACTCCTTTTGAGCTGATCTTTGACATCTTGTCACTTTGTTGATCAAACCTGCAATCAAGCACAACTTGTGAACCTTTTGGGACTATTTTGTACAAATTTTTAATCAAAACTTAAGCAAGAAGGAGTATAAAATGTATTAAAATCCCTAGTTATCAACTCCTCCAAACTTAAGCTTTTGCTTGTCCTCAAGCAAACAAAATAAGACCCACTCCTTAAGGGAAAATCCAAGAAATTTTTCAGTTGTCCTAAAGTAACCTCATCTAGCATCAATTGGGACTAACAATTGCCCTCAATACAAATGAATCATTAACAACTTTTACTCCTTGAAACACCATGGATTAAGTGCGACACAAGAGCATCAAGAATTGACTCAACACATCAAAGAACTCTTTTCTATTACTTCGGTCATTGTGGAACCCAAACTCACATATCCTCAACTCTCCCTAAGCAATCCTCACCTTTAAGGTAGTGGCACTCAGAACGAGGATAATGGAAATTCACTCATCTCTCTCAAGAAAAAACCACAAGTCCGGCTCTAGGTACCATATGCTTGCCCCTTATGTAAGTATCTACTAATGTAAGCTTCATTCAACTCAAGATCATATAGGGCTTTTGTGGAGATATTGTGAAGGCTTTTGGTTCAGGGTAGGAAATGTTTTGGTCTAAGTAAGTTCCATCTTCCCTTAAACACTTCTTTTGATTCATTTGGCACACATTCACTTGACTCTTTGAGTCATTTCACTTCTTTCTAAGGGGTTAGAGAGAGACACTGTTACTTTTTCTTATGCATTTCAAACCTTTTCTCCTTTTTCAACTTTCCACACATTTAATTCTTTGCTTTTCTTGAATCCCTTTTTGTTCTTTTTCATATTAAACATTCTATTTGCCATTTTACTTTTCTTTCTTTTTCATTGACTTTCCTTTTCTTCATTTTTGTGCTTTTTTACCACTTTGTTGCAATCCTTGTCTCTCCCCCCAAACTTATACTTTTGCCATGTGCTAAAGGAAAGATCAGGTGCCAAGAGAGGGTATCTTTCAGAACGGGTATAGGCTTGTATCATGGTTCTTGAAGGAAATAGGTCTAAGGCTCTAAAGGGTTGACTAGGGATCTTATCATTGGTAGGTTATGGAAGTGTTCAAGCTATCATTTGGACAAGGAGAGCCTATAATCATGTCTCAAGTCAAAATTCGCTTAGGATTTCGCCTCAACAAACATTCAGGGCAAGTTCTAGACCAATGGCTCGGGACTTGGACTTGCAATGAAATTACTCACCACACGAGCTATGGGATCGCTAAAGATATAGAGTCGGGGGCCCACAACAACCTTAGATAATGTTTGAGCACACAATGGTCCCGAAAAACCACTTGATGATTATCGGCCAACACAAGAGTCTCAAGGCCACGACTTTCACCGTCCTAAACACAACAATTTGTTTTTGACCATAAGATCAAAGGCAAATGTGCTAGGCCCAAGTGAAGCTTTTCTTGAGCCACTCTTAACTACTAACTACTATGTCACACCTCCTTTTTGCACGTCCGGCCCCGAAGGGTTAGAAATGCGCGGGTGGAGTTTTTCCAATTTAAGTGACAATATTCGAA